CAATCAGTTTTATTGTGAACTAGATAGATGTGGAGAGATTAGGGCTATTGCTCTTCATACAATGTATCAGGTCACATCTTTAAAATTATTGAATCCATCCTTATCAATCGTAGTATAAAAGTTGTCCTTGATAGACAGCACTTTTTGCCATTTTCTGTAACTTCAGGGGTTCCTCAAAGTTCCACCTTTAAACCCTATACTTTTTTAATTTACATAAACAATCTCCCAGAAATTCTCATGTTATAATCACACTAAAGTGGCATGGTTTCCTGATGATATTACTATTTATTCTTGTCTTGATAAGAAACCAACAATCTCTGATTGCTTGGAAGGGACATTTGAGCTTAAAAATGATCTCACTTCTGCTACAGCATGGGGTTCTCTGTGGCTGATGAACTTTAACTCAGATAAAACTCAATTTTTTCAGATAACCTTTATTGCAATAATCTAGATCATCCTATATTTATGAATGGTAATGTATTTGATGGGTCATCTACCATTTGATCTTTAATATTCTTTCTTTGAAACCATATATCAAATCCATTGCAAAATTAGCATCTGTTAAGGTTGCGGCTATTTATCGTGCTTGCCACATTCATACTCTGGATTCTATTCTTTATCTCTATAAATCTCTAATTCGTTCTTGCATGGAATACTATTGTCATATCTGGAGCCGCTCTTTGAATGATGCCCTTTCTATTCTAGACAAGATGCAAAATCACATAGTAAACATTGTTTGAACTGCTCTTGCTGTCAACTTTTAACCATTGTCACATTGTTGTAATATGCTTCTCTTTCTCTTTTCTTTAAATATTATAATGGACACTGCTCTAAAGAGCTAGCATCTATAGGCCATCTACTAAAATTCATTTTTATATTACTCATCATTCAATTAAACCTTATCCTTTTACTGTGACTGTTCCTTAGTGCTCCAAAAATTCTTTTTTTGTCTAGTTTTTTTCTATAAACATCAGTTCTTTGAAATTTTCTCCCTCCCATCTTGTTTTCCTGATTCATATAATTCGCAATTTTCGTTATCTTTATAAACTTCTTCTTTTCTCTTGGCTTATGTTGTGAATAAAGCCATGCAACTAACCCAACCATTTTTTTGGTGAAAACCAAACCAAAAAAATTGAATCAAACTGAACCAATCTACTTATTTAAAAAAAAAAAAAAAATTGAATGGAAAACAAAAAACCCTGAAAAAACTGACATAAAAGTAACCAAAAACTTAATTAAAACTGATCAAATAATGTATTTTAGTTATTTAATTTGAGAACTTTCAAACCACAGAAAAAAAATCTGAAAAAAGAAAGAATAAAAAAATGACTCTAAATATTAACAAAATAAGTTATTATAAAGCAGGTGAAATGACCAACATATACAGAGCACCAGAACGCCGTAAGAGTTTTGAGAGTTTTTGGGTACACAGGTCTTGAAAATTGTAAAAGAGTAAAATAGAAGCTTTTTCATAACAGATACCTTTTAAGAAGATATTTAAACATGCAGTGTTTCAATGACAACTAAATTGTGCTCAGAAAGTGCTTGTTTTTTATTGTTAAATAATTAAATACTGAATTGCGCTCTAAATGACTAAAAACTAAGTTGTGCTCAGAAATTCATTTCTGCCAAAAAACTTAATTCTAACCATGTTCAAAAATACTTATGTACATCAGCAACTCCTGCAACTTCAGAGAGGTTTATAATACTGCCAGTAATGTCTTTACTGCCAGAAGAATTACACTGGGGTTATATATGTTGAAAAGATTTACTAAAATTTTAAAGGTTTAATTAAAAATGTAAAAAAGATCAAAATTAGTGTAAAGTTTTCTTTGGTGGTTTAGAAAATCAATCATTCAAAATTTATAAAATAAAAAATCCCCTAAACAATTTATTTTGTTTTTAACCGACACCAATCAAAAAATTTTCAAACTGAACCAAATAAAACTGCATCGTTAGTTTCAAGTTTAAAATCGAATTAAAAAAAACCAAATTGAAATAAATCTGAACCACGTAGCCTTACTTGTGAATTTATTTTGCTGAAATTATTTTGTAAATCTTTTATGCTACCTTAATAAAAATTTATTGTAAAATTAAAAAATATATATTGAAAAAAATTATAAATTTAATTTAACTTGAATATAAACATAATCTAATTTATAAATTAAACTTAAAATATTTATAAGTGTAATTTAACATAATTATAAATGTAACTTCATCAAATTATAAACAATATTAAATTAAAATTCTATTTCAAAACAAAATGACATGATCATTAGAAAAATAAATTTCTTGTGAGGAAATTACAATCACAAATTAAATTACCACCAATTAAAAGTTTTTTTAGCAAAGTGTTACATTTATTTTGACCAATTTTTCTTTAATACTATTGATTTATGACACTATGATATTATGAAAATAATATACTTTGTTACTAAGATACTATGATATCATGACTACAACCCAATATGTGAATAAATAAAAAATTAATAGATGTGTTTTAGAAAAGAATAATTAATTACACTGGATGTGATGTTCAGAGTAGTAAACCTGATCTGCTCATTTCGATTCTGAGATTCTTGTGTAGATGATCGTACAGCTGCAGACTGAATTAAAGAATTTTCCAAATTTTTAATATCTTGAAGTGTCTTTTGAGAAACATCCCTTAAATAAAAAAAAAATACAATTAAACTTAATCATTCATAAACAATCAAAACATGACTAGTTCACTCAGTCTAAAGTAACCTAGTTCTTAATTGTAAATAAGCGTAAATCAAAGTACTTACACAGCTTCTTGGGATCTAGTTTGAACTTGTTGAGCTTTTAGCAGCCCAATTTGAGCATCATTATATGTTTCATTAATTACACCTTCATTCACGACAGTACTTATAATTTCATTAGAAAGACTTTGAATGTCTGCTAATGAATATGGAAGTGAATAATTTTGAATATCTAAAGATAATTTTCTTGCTTCTATAGTTTTGTTTCTTGAAATTGCAAGTTGCGTAACACCTCTAGCTAATGATGCTGTTTCTTGAAGAGCGTCATACAAAACATCCTCAACACTTTCCTTCAAATGTAAAAGCAAAAATATTTCTTATTCTACAATGTGTTATTTAATGTAGCACATTAAATTAGTATATTTAATCTTTAAATTTTTAAATTATTCTAAATTATAATATAATTATTATTTAACACTATGTTAAATAATAATTATATGAATAAGAAAAAAAATATGATGCTTGAAATTAAATTTACTAATTTATATTAATAATAAATAACCGCAATAACTTTATTAAAACTAAAATTACAATGGTTTCCTCCAACCAAAAAATTTACTTCACCTTACAAAACATACTCTAGTCACTTTATTTAACTTGACGTTTTGTATAAAGTTTTGTTTGTATAAAATGTCAATTTATTCCATTATTCAGATGGTATAAAGTTAAGCATAAATTAAGTCATATAACTTAAATAACATAAATTAACTTTGCATAAATTTAACAAATTGGAAATTAAAATATTGATTTATTAATGCTTTTATCAAAATTTTATATAAATTGACCTGTAATATTTTGTGCACTTATTGGATATTGGAAATTGAACTTAAACTTAAACTTGGTGTTTAAAAGAAACTACTTTTCTCATATATATTATGTAAAAAGAGGTTCATACATTGCAAGAGTTAAATTTTCATTATTTATAAATTATATAGGCTAGCATATTATAATATTATACTTTACATATATTTCAAGTGTTTACATGTAATAAATGCTACATTTATCAAGTGATAAAATCAATCATTATATTAAAACAAAACAATAATTAAATTTATATATGTGTTACTAAGTTAAGTAAAAGTAAAGTTAATAACCTCCTTTCATTTAGCAAAATAAAAAGATATTACGGCTTTATTTATTACTTTGTATTTATTTGTAGAAATGAGAAAAAGATTCAAATGACAGCAAAACAGAGGCACAAAAGTTAAAGCAGTTTTAACTACATTTACAATCAGTTGGATATTGTCTAAAAACAGAAGAGAATCATTAGAAGAACCAGACCCAGTATTACAAAAGTGTTCCATGCTGCCTGTTCTAAGCAATCAAAAAGTGAAGACTTTTTGTCAAGGCTGGAGTGTAAATGGAGTATATAGTTGTGTTTTCAGTTAGTGTGAAGTATATAGTCATGCCTTCAGTTAGTGTGGAGTATATGGTTGTGTCTTCAGTTAGTGTGGAGTATATAGTTGTGTTTTCAGCTAAGACTGGTGTATATAGTTGAGCCTTCAGCTACTTTAGAAATAAGATTACCATGATCATTTATACAAATAAGAAACAACATATGAATAAAGATGGAAGTTTATAGCTTCCTATAAAACAAGATTCAGTTAAACACTTAGTATTGAAGAGAGTTGTGACAGGAATATTTTATTACATTACATTACAATATAAGCTGCAGAAGAGTTCAAAAGAAAAATATTTTTTAAATTGTAAAGCTATCTAAGTAATAGGACCTGATGATAACATCAACGCTTTGGTCCTGGATACAGGAGATAACTAAGATGTTGGTTTTCTTCTGTGAATCAACCAAAACCCAATTTTGTTTTTTTTATCCTTAAAATTACACAATCTGGAATCTCTTCAAACCTGGTTTCTCTTAAAATTTAAATGTTTAACTTATATCTGCCCTAAAGGTGATTCTCTGTACAAGAAAGCTGTAGAGGAAGAGCATTTCCTTCTGTTGCACATTATTTGGTTTGCACTACCTGACAAAAAAATATTTTAGTATACAAGAAACAATTCTTTATAGAAACTATTTTTTTCAGTAGAAACTTCTAAATTTTCTTCAAAAATCCAGAAAGATTCAACCTACAGATATTTCTAGAATCCTTATCTAGGTGACATAAAGTAAAAAAGCAGCTAAAATCTTTTTAGTAAATTCTTTTTAACTATTAAACATGCAGATGCCCATTCCATAAAAAAGTATATGCAACTTTACTGAAAGCTTTTAAGTTATAAGCTTCCACAAACTCCAGTTAGACAAGAATTAATGCATAAATGAGACTTTTTATTTGCTCATTTTAAACAAAAAGTTTCTTATTAATTTTTACAATAACAAATTTTTTCTAGTTTTTTTAATTTTTAAACAAATTTTTTTTTAAATTTTTTTAATTTTTAGTTTAAAGTTTTTTAATTTTATTTCTTTTTTAAAATCAAGAATTAAAAATCTAAGTAACTTTAACAAAATTTTTACCTTTAAATTGTTAGCTACAGAAAACTGCCCTTCAACATTAGCTTTTAGTGTAACAGCATCCATTTTTAATTTACTAACAGACTGTGAGGCTGCATCAGCCATTAGATTCATCCTTATGCTTTCTGAATCAGCTCTAGTTATAAAATTCTTAGCTGTTTGCAATGTGTTTATTGAACTTGAATAAACATTAACAGTTCGATTTTGCAAAAGAAGCGTACTTGCTATAATATCATGAATTTTCATCAACTCCAGAGAGTTCGATGTAAATCTAGCTTTATAAGCAGTATCCAAAAAGTCAGTTGCTTGAGATCGCGCCATTCTTGATTGGGAAAGATCAGCCATTGCAGACGATAATCTAACAGCAGCATCTGCAATGCTTTCATTTGCAGAAACAATCTAAAGTTGAAATTTTAAAGTTTTTTCCACTACAACTAAAAATTAAAAAAGTAAAAAAAAAAGTAAAAAAGTAAACTAAAAATTAAATTTTTTTAATATAAATATGAATAAAAAATATAAATAAAAATAAAAAAATATATATACAAATCTTAAATCTTAGATATAAATCTTTATCTCATAGAACTTTATTGCATATTTATATTGTTGTGCCCTCGTACATACTTTGATTTTAACATACTGTATGCACTTATATATAAGTCAAGAAATAAAGAAAAACCTCCTTTGGATTTACTTCCACGCATTTTTAATAAGGTTTTCTGGTTTGTAAAACGTATAACATTGCATTTAATTTGAAAATTGTTAAACATAATTATCAAACAAAAATAATTTATTCAATAACTTTTATTGTCTTAAAACATTGTGCAACCAGCATCATATTTAAAAAGTGTTTCAACACAAATATATACTTTATTATGCAATAATATTTTTTATTTTTGAGACTCAAAATGTTTTTCTGTAAATACAAAATTAGTATTGAGTAGTCTCAAAATTGGTTTAGACTTTTATTTAGTTTAGACATTTTATGACTAGGTGAAAGAAATATTACTAAAAGGTCAAGTTGAAAATAAAAATTAAAAAATGTTATTTAATTTAATAACTAAAATCTAAACCAGAAATTACAAAAAATTAATAACTAATACAAATAAATAATTAAAAAAAAAAAATTCTCTGAAACAGATACCAAAAAACTTACATCTCTATACTGATTTTGTATTAAGCTATACACAGCTTGACCAGATATGTTCTGCTGGTATGTGACAGTAATAAAACTATGAGCCAATTGAGTAATAAGGGCAGCATCTATAATTTTTTGATTATTAGTTAATTGTCGCCGTAGACGTACTGTGATATTTGTAATTGGAATAATTTGAGGTATTGGTGTATTAAGAAAGACGGCACCATTAAAATTTTTCACTGTATTTTCGAAGTAATACTTTGACTTGTATAACTGTTGCTTTGTTAAATTGAGCACTGATTCAAAGTTTATGATGTTCATTTCAATCTGAAAAATTTAAAAATTTAAAAAATGAAAAGCTTAAATTAGAACAAACAAAACAAAAAATATACAGCAATTTACATTGTTATTAATTTTTATTTTTTTATACATAATTATAAATTATATACATTTATAACTGAATACAATATAAACATACTTATATAAACAACATTTTTTATTAATTTATACTTTTGTTTAATGTCTGAAGATCATTTTTGCAATAGTAAAATACTTTTGAAATAACAAAATCCTTTTTCAAAATAATACATACATAATTTTTTCAACAGTGATAAGAAATTTTATTGACATTTTTTAGGGTTTCAAAAATGAATTCAAAAAATGATGCGGAAAACACCTCTTAATCAAAGCTTAGATATAAAACTTTTGATTTTTAGACCTTTTTAGAGATTTGATAATTTATATTATACATATAATATAAATTATACTTATATTATACAGTATATTATACATATATATACATAGACACATCATCATTTTTATTTTTCTACTTCTATCTTCTCTGTATATTTTCTGATTTCTTTGAATTTAACAAGAATACATTTTAAATAATCCAACAGAGCAAAACAGGGTGTGCAACATCTTTGAATTCATTGTCAATTCTTTGAATATAATGTGTAAATTTTTTTTCAACAAACCTTGATTTTTAACATAGAACCATTAACTCCAAAGCAGAAGCAGACATGTTTTCTTTAGAATATTTGCAATAGCAGAAACAAAATTAATGTTTTCTTTAGAATATTTGCAATAGCAGACAGTAATGTTTTCTTTAGAAATATTTGTAATAATGAATTAATAAATTTACTTTATAAACTGTTTTTCGCACTTTGAAACTTTCTTCTATTTGTTAAAACATTTTTGCTGTATTGTGGGTTGAACCAAATTATATTTCTGTTTCTATTTTGCTTCTTTGTAGTTTTTGTTTTTAATTTTAGTTTAAAATTTTTAATTCCACTTTTTTTAAGAGCATCTTTATACACACATTTAGATGATTAAAAAATACTTTTATTAGAGTTTTAATTTAGCTATTTTTTTTGAGGGGGGTGATTTGAACTTATATATGATATTTATATATATATATGATATTTTATTATATATGATAATTCATCATTAGGTTTTTTTATAAGTTTTATAAGAATTTTATGAGAGATTAAATGTGACATGAAGAAAGTTCGTCATCTTAAAACATTTATTTCAATTTGGAAGCCAACTTTTTTGAAAATTTTTATATATTAATTTTTTCTGATTTTGTCAAGTTGAGGTCCTGTTTTATTTTGCATTATTATTAAACCATTATCGCAATAAAAGCCTAATCAATTAAATTTAAAAACTATTTTAGCTAAGGAATTTAAAATACATAAGCCTTCAAATTGCAATTTTTTGCTCCAATCGTAACTTCCTATCATTAGATCAAAGCATTTGCGCAGCGGCCTTGTTCGTCAAGGTTCGTGTTTCGGAGTTAAAGAGTTGAGAGAGGGTTATAGCCACAAAATAAGAAGCCTCCTCGTCTGTAGTGGCCTTCTCGGCCTTGAGGAGGTGAAGTAAAATTAAAAAAAAAAAAATTTGTGCATGGTTTTTTTCATCTAATCTTATAAAAATAGAGTTAAAGTTTTTCTGCAATGTTTAATTAGATGAATAGTGTCATCTGTAATTTCAGTGTGGATTTTTTCAAATTCTATTGTTTTACAAAATTTTTTTGTTGTAATTGAGTGGTGAAAATCATTAACATCAAATTGTATAAATGTATATTCATTTTTTTAACTAATTTTAGAAAACCAATTTATAACATCAGTGGTATTTTGCTGCAAAATTAACTTTTTTGAATGTTATTTTTTTGTCCAATTTAAATTTACTAACATGCCCTAGTTCACTTATATATATATATATATATATATATATATATATATATATATATATATATATATATATATATATATATATATATATATATATATATATATATATATATATATATATATATATATATATATATATATATATATATATATATATATATATATTGAATAAAAAAAAACTTCTTTAAGAAAGGAACAATTTACTTGATTAAATTGCTTGTCTTTTGCACTTGTATTATAAATACCTCCAGTAAACACATTCATTGCATAGGTTAAGTTAATATCTAATTCAGATAAAGCAGAGCTTATATCTTCATACTTCATGCTACCAAACCGCACTAGTAAGTTAGTTACATTATTATTGAGATCATTGATATCTTCAACTTCACCATCTATGTATTTCTGCCAGTTGTCATAGCAAGGCGAATGACAAAGCTCACATTCAGGTGGCGTTCCTGGAAAAAAAAAAGTTTAATGGGAAACTCACAAACGCAAACACAAAAACTTTTTCAAAAATTATATTATCATAATTTAACAACTCCTTGAAAAAGAAAAGAAATGGAAAAAAATAATAAATCAAAAACAAAATCAAAAATAAACAACTAATAAAACTAATAATATATACCATAATAAATAGTTAAAAAAACAATATAAAAATAAATATATAAAATAATAACTTTTTACTATTAATATTTAATTTTAATTTTAGCATTTATTATTTTGTCTATATTTAGTTTATATATAGTGTGATGCACTATGTATAATTTAAATGATTTTAACAGTGTAAATTTTTTTTACGTACCAATAGCATTTACAGCACATTCATTGCACCTTCTTCCACTGTATTTTCCACCTAAAGGACTTACTATACACATACATTGGCCAGTTAAAGCGTCGCAAGTTGTGTTCGTCATGGTGAAGTCAGCATCACAGTCGCAAGCTAAAAATTAAAACTTTAAATAAATTAACATAGCTATAAATTAAAATAAGGAAAATATTTGTAATAAACAAGAAAACTATAAAAAACAACAATAAATTTATATTCATAATGCATAAACTTTTTCCCCATAAATTTGATTAATTAATCTTATGGTAGAGAAAAAAGAAGCTACATTACTTTATTATAACATTTTAATTATACAATGATTGTGCCCTATAAACTCTTAATTTATATTAACACTTTAGAGATGTCATTTAGAGATGACAAAAAAGACTTAAAAAAAAAAAAAAAACTAATTTCAATCTAGTAATTTTCATAGTAAATAAATATAACAAAGTGTATTTGAGTAATTTAATGAAAATGCAATTAACAATAAAGTATAATATATAAACTAATTTGATATTCTAATTAATTTATTTTTACTTTAAACTTCTAGTTAGTGGTTACAATCTGTGACTTTATCAACTATTTACTTTGTGATTTATATACTTATATAACTTGTGTTGTAATATATAAATATATGGAAAAGCTGAGTAGTATCGAAAAAAAAATTGCTAAAAAAATGGAATAATATCTAAATTTTTTTGATCAATACATTTTTTTGGGATTAATATCAAAATTTATATTTAAGGAATTCATTTAAAAAGATATATTAAAATTCATTTAGAAGGAATAATGTCAAAAATATCTATATGGAATAATATCAAAATTTGGATTTAGGAATAGTATTGAAAAACTAGCAAAGAGGTAGAACATGCGAGGAGTGTTGCTAAATCGACTGGCAAATAGATAAAACATGCAAGGAGTGGTACTACATCAACTGAGGGTTTGGGCAGGCAGTCTATCAATTAAAATTCACAATTTCTGTTTATTCCCAATTTCGATAATAATCCAAAAAGTCCTTTTTAAAACTTATTCTCCAGGGCTCGAATTAAGTGTATTGCAATCGTGATTGCTTTTTATACTTTCGCGATTAGTTTTTTCTTAAAATGTATATTTTCATGATTGGTTTACTTTTTTAGTTGTTTAATTACTATTTTTTTAATTTAGCTTTTTTTTTGGCAATTCTTAAAAGTAATATTTTTATAGTACGTCACACAAAGTTTATCTTTTGAATAGAAGCTGATTTGGTCTTTTGCGCAGAGATTTTTATTCAACGTAAAGCACTTTATAATTTAAATTACTTTTAATTACTGCAAAGAAGCAAATTAAAAAGACAAAAGTTAAAAAGAATTTATTCTTCATTCTATTTTTTTAACAAAACAGCATTTTTATTTTATTTTTTTATTAATAATGAATTAAATTATTATTTTATAAACAACTTTATATAATTATTTTTACTACTTTAAGTATAATAAAATTTATATTAATTCGTTTTTATTAAATAAAATTTCTATTAGTAAAATTGTACTAATAGAAACTAGCAACTTTTTTGCTTTTTTGCTTTTTTTCATTTTTAACGACCTTGAAACTATTAAAGTTATATTTAGTTAACTTTACTGAATGGATAGAGTATATCACAGTAAATTAACTTATAACCTAAATCAAAACAACCAGTTAAGTTAAGATAGTAACTTGCAGTTACTCAAGTATTAATTTAACAATTATATTAATTTATTTAATATATTCGCAAAAGTTAGCCATAGACATGTTTCAATTTAGATCTTACATATTGTTAACACATAATATAAGTTTTTAACTAATAATTGTTTTAACAAAAATTGTTGAATAGAATATGAAAAACGCCACACCGTTTTTTTATATTTTCATTTTATTTATAGCGACATCTAGACTAAACATTTTCTATAAATACGCAAGTTGTTTAGGTGAAAAAATTTTTTTTTTTTTTTCGCGATTAGATTTTTTTGTGTTAATTTGAGCTCTGTTCTCTTTTGAGCCATTTGATTTATATGAGCCATTTATTCTGCTCTTTGTATTTTAGATACAATTCCTTTTTTTACAATTTGGGTTTTATTCTTCATTTCAATATTAATGGTATAAGTTCCCTTTTCAAGCTTATTTTCGTATTCTGTTTTTGACACTCTTACTATTACCCAAATATAGTAAAATAATAATTACAAATAAATAATAATTACAAATAAATAATAACTACAAATAAATAATAATAACAAATAAATAATTATATTAATTTTTACTTTTACTATTACTGTATACTGTATAATTAATGCACAATGCAAAAAAGACATTAAACTTATGTAACAATATTAAACTTACGTAAACATCCCTTTGAAAGATCATAGAAGCCTGGTGCACAACGATCACATTTGTCACCTAATACTCGAGGATTGCATTTACAGACTCCAGTATTCTAGTAAGAAATTTAAACTTTGAACATTTTTGTTTAAAATAAAATATTGGTAGTTTTACTTTGTGATTTATAACTTGGGTTAAATGAGTAAAATAAAACAACAACTTTTGTGTAACCATAAATCAAATATGTAAATGGTCAATGAAATTTGTATAACTATATGTGGCCATATAACCATATATAAAAGGAAACACAATTGTGTCGATAACATCAGTTTTGTAATAGAAAGTTAGATTAAAGGTATTTTGATTAAATATTAAAAAACTTATTAATTCAAACAAACATGAATTTGTTCATTCAAAGATTTGTACTTCTGAAAAGTTATGATTCACTTTAAAAAAATTTAAATCACAGGATACTGGTCAATAATATTTACTTTTCCAGTCTATATTATTGATTTGATTTTGCGAAAACAAAGTTTCTTGAAAAAATATTTATAAATTTAGTAAATATAGAATAGATAAGCAATTAATAAAGTTGATTGGTGCTTTCCTCACTAATCAAAAACAAAAAGTCATATTAGAAGACTCTACATCAAATAAGATACAGGTAAATACCGGAGTGCCTCAAAGCTTGGTACTGGGGCCAATACTTTTTTTCTATATATTAAAGATATGTTAAACAATATAACATGTCAATGCAAATTGTTTTCAGAATTTTACATAAAAAACATTTTTAAACAAAAACTTATTGTTTTCAGATTTTTTGAAAAAAACAACATATCTATAATTTATCTTTAGAAACATTTTATATCTAAATATTCTTTCCATGCATCCAAAAACTATAAGGCATTTCAATATAACAAAATTATTTTATAAGTCTTTGCAATCATTTTGCAATATAAAAATAAATATATAAAAACTTTTAATGTGAAATTTTATATTCTTTCATTACCTACTAAACTTTTGTTTTCTATATAATCTTTTTATTTATACTTATACAATGGTATAAGTTTATATATATATATATTTTTTAAACATCTTCGCTCCCAACAAAGCTGCAAGCAACCACTAATTAGTGTTGGAAGTTACTGGAAGAGAAAAAATGAAGATTATAGAGCAAGATAACGATTGACAGACCATTTAAAAGATTGCAAATTATATGAATCAAGAAAACAAGATGAAGAAAGCAAATTCCAAAGAACTAATGTTCAAGGGAAAAACTAGACAAACATGAGTTTTTATGGAACTTAGGAACAGTAACAGAAAAAGGATGACACTTAATTGAATGACAAGTAACACAAGAATGAATTTTAGTTGTTTTTTTTATGGCACAAGAGACGCTAGGTCTTTAGAGAAGTGCCCATTATAGTATTTAGAAAAGAGAAAGGGAAGCAACATTACAACGATGTGACAAAGGTTGTAGGTTGGCTGCAAGAGCAGGTCCTATGTTTACAATGCGTTTTTGCACCTTGTCTAAAAGAGAAAGGGCATCATTAGAAGATCCGCCCTAGATATGGCAACAGTATTCCATACAAGGACGGATTTGAGATTTATAGAGATAAAGAATAGAATCCAGAGTTAGAAAGTGTCGAGCTTGATAAAGAGATGCAACTTTAGCAGATGCTAATTTTGTAGGTTTTCAAGAAAGATCAGAAGTAAGAGTTAATCCTAGAAGATGAAGGGTAGATGACTCATTGGGTACATTACCAATCATAAATATAGGAAGGTCTAAATTATTGGGATAATGATTGGCTGAAAAAAATTTAGTTTTATCTGAATTAAAGTTCACTAGCCACTGTGAGCCCTATGCTGTAGCAGAAGTGAAATCCTTTTCAAGTTCAAATGCCCCCTGCAAGCAATCAGAGGGAGTTGGCTTGTTATAGTGACAAGAATAAATGATAGTATCATCAGCGAACAATGCCACCTTAGATGTGAAAATATCTAGAAGATCGTTAATGTAAACTAAAAAAAGTATAGGGCCAAGGAATGAACCTTGAGGAACCCCTGAGGTTACAAAATCAGAAGAAGAATGCTGTCCATCAAGGACAACTTTAATACTACAATTGGAAAGGGAGAATTTAATAATATTAAAGATGTTTCCAGATATGCCATTAGATGAAAGCTTATGGAGAAGACATTTTGATAAAGCGTTTGATAAAGTTTGGCATACTGGCATGCCAAACTTTATCAAACGCTTTAGAAATGTCAAGAGCAATGGACTTAACCTCTCCACCTTTATCTAATGCGCGATAAAACCTATGGGTTTTTACTGTTAACAAATCAGCCGTAGAATGAGAAGATCGAAATCCATATTGATGATCAGAAAGTAAGTTATTAGATTCAAGATGAGAGATTAAGTGTTTGTTAATTAAAGATTCAAAAACCTTGCTCATGATAGGAAGAAGACTAATGGGATGGTAGTTAGACAAATCAGATCGCTCTCCAGAATTTTTAAAAATAGGGTTAAAAGATGCTGTTTTCCAGCAGGCTGGAAAACAAGACTTTGAGAAATACTTGTTAAATAGTTTTGAAAGGATAGACATCAGCTCCGGAGAATACTTCTGCAAGACTATAACAGGTATAATGTCCAGGCCGCAAGCTGTAAAAGAGTCTAAGCAGAAAATCACTTTAGATACAGCAGCTGGAGTGATACAGATGTCGAGCAATGGATCAACCTGTTTGACGGCTATTTCAGGAAGAACGCAACTAGTGAAATCAAGAGATGATATTGATGAAAAGTTCTTAGCAAACAATTCAGCTTTGTCTTTAGGTGAGGTGACAAAGTCTGAACCATACAAAAGAGATGGAATTACAGACTTGCCCTTATTATTGATACTATTAAAGATTCTTCAGAAGTCATGAGTGCCTAATTTTTGAGATGAAATAAGAGATTTCATGATCTGAGAATAGTGGGCTTTGGTGTTGAATAAAACCTTTTTACAATGATTCCTAGCAGTAATAAACAGGCGTCTGTTTTCTGTAGAATTGTTTTGCTAATAGATATGGAAGTAATGGTTTTGATTAGCAATTGCAGCAGCATAACGTAAGGAAAACCATGGAGAAGAGTGAGGCTTAACCTGGAGAGGGAATAAAGGATTCCATGGCAGCCTGAATCCACAAACTTATGTCAAAGCACATTTTTCAACAGGAAGACGAAAGATTTCTACTCAAGGGCCATCACAAAGAAAATTACGGAAAGAGTCCCAGTCAGCTTTAAGGTAGTTGTAAGATGTACGATGATAGGGGGATTCTGATGATAAAGAAGAATGAGATAATAGTTTTAGAGAGATCAAACTGTGATCAGAGGCACCTAAGAGTGAATGTGGAGAAACTGAGCACTGAATGGGATCAGAAACAAGACACAAGTCGAGTAGAGAAGGTAAATGATTCGGGTTGTCTGGAAAGCGAGTTAGAAAGTTGATAATTTGAGTTAGGGATTGAGAAAGCCAAAAGTTGTGGGCTTTAATGCCTGCTGAGTCACTGACACTAGAGCCAAGCCATTCAGTGTGATGAACATTAAAGTCACTGATAACAACAATATTGGCTGATGGATAAAGAGAGAGGGTTTGGTCAATATGATCAGAAATAACATCAAGAAGAGTGCAATCTTGAGATGAAGGAGAGCGATATAGAACAAAGAGAAAGGTGTTAGAGTGAAGTGGTGCTAAACGGAAGCACATAAAAGAGTAGTCTGTGGATTCAATCCTAATTTTTCGACAAATGGGTGAATTCTCACAAATGTAAATGCCCAGGCCAAGCATGTAACTATTGGAGTCTTTACAAATTAAAGGAAGATAGCTATTAACACTAAGATCACAAGATGAGACAGCTGAACTCAAATTAGTCTCACAGAGAACAGGTAGGTCTAGTGAACTTTGCAAGAGATTCAACAGACTCAAAAAGACTTAACAGAAGAAAAGTTACTTCAAAGACCACAAATATTAGTGAAAGATTTGGTGATGATTGAGGTTTTTTGTGTTTTATAGTTTTTGTTACTTATTCGTTTTTAAATTTGTTAAAGAACTTGGCTCAAAACATAGATAGTACTCAGTACAATGTTTAATAGCCCAAGCAATTGCCTTATTACTATTAATAAACCCTAAGCCATAACAAAAGACTCCGGTGTGGCCTTGGCAATGCACTAAAAGTACAAACAGGGACACAATCCATGCGCAACATGGCAATGTTAGTACTTTGATAATCTACAGCTATTGATGGAATCAGCCTCTCTGAGAGCTACCACAGAGTTCGGGAAACCTGACTACCAGCCGGCCTTAGAACTATAAAACTGAGTTTATATATATATATTAGGGTGGGTCAAAAAAAATTTTTTTCTTGTTACAGGCTCTAAGCATTGCTAATAGTTATTAATATTGATACTATCAAATATGAGAATGATTGTGATAGATTTAAAGGGTGCAACTTTATTGGGAAAATTACCAGTACCCTAATATTTTGGAGAAAAAAAGTTTTTCAAAAGTAGGTCAACCTGGTACTCAAAAGAAGCGAAATTTTATAAAAATTTCGAAAATAGTAATCGCTTTATAAAAATTATATTGCCGAAAAAATTGTTATTAAAAAACATGTAAAAATGCACCTTTTTTACTTTTAGTTGAAAAACTATAGTTATTATGCAATAAAATCTAAAAATTTTTTTTGAATAACTATTGCAAAAGGAAACAAACATATTGCAAATATAACTAATGAAGCAAACTTTTTCTTTTGTTGGGATTAATAAGAAAAATTTTCAAAAACAATAATTGATTTGTAATAAAGAAAAGTTTTATCTGTTTTTAGTAAGACCTCAATCTTAAAAGTTGCCATTAAAACTATCGAAAGCTATAAAAAGCAACAAAATACCAACAAATTTTATTCTTTTATTAATTCAAAATCCAAGCTTCACCATTCTGTTGCGTCACCATTCTGTTGCGTCACCATTCTGTTGTGTCACCATTCTGTTGTGTCACCATTCTGTTGCATCACCATTATGTTGCACCAAATTCATCTAATTTCTGTTGCATGTTCTTGATGTTCTTTTTTTAAACGATTTAAAAAAAACGCGTATTTTAAATGACTTTTTTCCCTCTGTTTTCATCACTGACATCGGTGTTTGTCCTCCATTAGATTTTCCATCCCATCAAAATTCTTTGAGTAAAGTATTATTTCTATATGATTCTGTCATTTTATTTCTACAAAAAACTCTCAGCAAAGTTTTTCAAATTTCTGGATGGTTACCCTCCAATACTTTTAAAATCAATTGTAACTACCATTGCCATTCCTCTTTCTATTTTGTTCGAAATGTCAATAATCACTAATACTATACCTTAAATTTGGAAATCAGCAACAATTTGTCCAATATTCAAAAAAGGCAACCCTTCTCAAGGAAAAAACTGCAGACCTATTTCAATGACCTGTATCAATTGCAAAGTTATGGAATCAATTATTGCTAAAACCATAAAAACTTATCTATTAGAAAATAACTCTTTTGCTCAACATTAATTTGGTTTTATAAATCGCAGATCTACATGTTCACAAATGCTGGCAACTTCAAATGAATGGACTACTGCGGTAAATAACAAAAAGTTGACATCATCTATAGTGATTTTGAAAAAGCTATTGACTCGGTAACTCATCCTAAATTAATGTTCAAATTGCAATACTATGGAATTAAGTATGAAATATTTAATTGGATTAAAATTTTTGTAACTAATCGCTTTCAATGTGTATGTGTTGGTACCTCATATTCTGAAAACACTCCAGTTAAGAGTGGAATACCACTTGGAACTGTACTAGGACCTATATTGTTCTTAATGTTTGTTAACAACATAGTTTATTGCACTGATGGCGATTGTGGCATTAAGCTGTTTGCAGATGATATTAAGTTGTATCAATCAAGAAATGATTACAGCAACATTGATCTTGAAACACTTTTAAAAAAATCTTGGCATGGTCCAATGATTGGCAACTAAAAATAGCAACCAACAAATGTTTTCATTTATGCTACGAAAGATATAATATACCTACTCATCCTTATTCATTAAACTCTGTTATCAATATTGAAACTGTTTATTCAATTCAAGATATTGAAACCACCATGTTCTTTGATACAAAGTTCTCTAATTACTGCTCTTGTATTTCAAGCATAGCATAATCTTGTGTTTACTTACTTTTAAAATCCTTCATCTCTAACAATTCTCAACTTTTGTTAAAAACTTACAAAGTTTATATGGAGCCTGTATTAGAATCTTGCACCCCAGTTTGGAGCCCTTATCTTTTAAAAGAAATAATTTGCATAGAAAAAATTCCAAAATATTTTACCAGAATTGTCTGCAAAAGGTGTCATATTACATACACTAATTACTTATCAAGACTTATTATTTTCCAACTAGAATCTCTTGAGTATCCCAGAGTTAAATTTGAGCTTTATATGACTTATAAAATTGAACATAATCTTGCTGATTTACCATTTTTACATTTTTTTACTTTTTCCAATTCGAAATATTTTACTAGAAGTCATTCACAAAAGTTTACTCCACAAAATAAATACATTAATAATACTAAAAAATTTTTTACAGCAAAAGAATCATTGAAGTATGGAATTCACTTCCTGACCACATAGCGAACTCGCCCTCACTGTCAACATTCAAATCGTCAACATTCAAATCGAATTTAAAAAAGTATGATTTAAATTGTCACACAACCTACTAACTCGGTTTTTTTTTTGCATAAACTCATATTGAATTTTTTGTTTTGTTTTTTTTTAGTGCTAGTAATTTAGCAATTATCTGTCTCATTTTGTTTTTTGTACATTCAAATACAAAACAAATAAATAAACAATAAAAAAAAATTATTAAAGAGTTAAGAAAGTTTTGAAAACCAGCTGAAAGATTCAGAACTTAGTCTTAAGAAACTCAAAGAGCAAATGATGACCTAATCTTCCAATACAAAGTCCACAAAGGTTATGAAATAACCAATTACATAAATCCACACAATTACATAAATTACACACCATTTGTATAATAGGAACAAACTAAGTTCACAAACAAAACAAATAGAATAGAACAATTTAATTTATTTAAAAACAAGTTAGACAATAACTATATTAGACACAACCAATTTGAATTATAATACAATTTAATACTGCATTCTACTTTTTCATAAAAATTATAACTATAAGCTTTCATAAAACAATAAATATATGCTTATGTTATTATTATTTTTGTTACTATTGTTATTATTAATTTCAACAATAACAACTATTACAAAAACTAACTAACAAGTATTAGGTTTTAGTAATAAAAAATTCTATTAATTATTATTGTATTGTGAACCCAAAACTAAGATTTAAATATTTCTATTAACTTAAAACCAAACTAACCCAAAACCAAGCAAAAAAGCTTGGTTTTGGATTGATTAGTTTTAAGAAATAGAATACAACAATAATATTTTAATAGAACCAAACTTACAGGATCACACTGCTGAGATACTGAGCCAATTAAATCACATTGACAAAGATCACACCCTGCATTACTTTGAAAATTAAAAGTGTTCTCTGCACATTTATTACAAGTACGACCAATTACATTTGGCTTGCATGAGCAATACCCAGTAATATTTTGACAATCATTACCAAATGATCCAACTAAATCGCAGGAACAATCTAAAAGAAAATACTAATTATAAATTATTTTATTAATTTTTAATAGGGGAGAACAGGGGTTGAGTTTAAGTAGTTTCATAAAGTGTTTCATTTTGTTTTTGAACCCTTTAAGGTTGGAGTCAAATAAATACTTTCATCCAATTAAAATATAATATGATTTTTATTTGTATTTGTATTGTATTTGATCAAAAAATACTTTCAATATTTGTATTTGATTGAAAATCACTCATAAAAATATTTAATATATACAAATCATCAATAGAAGCATTTTCAGTATAATAAATTCAACCAGGTCATTAAATATTTAGATCACCATTGGAATACATTGATACTAAAATATTTAAATTGACATTACAGATTACATTACAGATTCACTTGAATACTAACAGCTAAAACAGACTGCTGAAAGATAAACAACAAATTAAAAATATTTTATTTGGAAAACTTATATTACAAATAGTATTATTTAAACTTGCAAATAATAATTTAAAATTATTTGAATTTGTATTTGATCAAATGTATTTGACCTCATCCCTGGTTACCCTTAAGACAAATTTATTTATAAATGTTAAAATGCAGTTTAAAAAAATGTATCATAACATGTAACAAATATGACGGCCCAAACAGGAGCCTCTAAAAAAATGTGTTTTAACAAGTTAGCAAGTATACAACAAAAATGATTATTAACACAATATTAGGTAAAATAAATATTACAAACCAATCAAATTTATATATATGATGACAGTAAATAATCAATAAAAAAAGTATGTATGCATTCAAATAACATTTTATACCTTTACATGTACCAGCTAAAGCATCACCATAATAACCAGGTCGGCAATATTGACAATTATTACCAATTGTATTTTTAAGACATCTTAAGCAAACACCTGTTGTAGTGTTGCAATTACCAGCGGCCTTTTCGTCGATGTTGTTGTTACATATGCATTTTTTACACGAACCAAGAGGATCCTGTAAATATTTTCAAGCAAAAAATTAATAACAACAATCAAATATTAAAATCTTTACTGACTTAAATCTACAATATCATAACAAATCTTTAAATAAATTTACAAACAAAAATTTAACTAAAAATTATAGGTCATTTAATTTGAATTTGTAATAAATTTGAAAGAAATATTGTTAAATAACATTTTAAAAAAATATAAAGATGTAAAATGTAATTAGAATGTAAAAACATCCATAATAAATTAATATTCTATAACATTAAATTCGGTACCATTTCCAAATCATATTTCTGTTGACTCAATGCAATATTTTAATGGATTCAGCACCTGCAACCTGACATTGATAGTGTATTTATAAAACCAAGTGGAAAAAATGCGGTAGTGGTGTAGTGGTAAGAGCCCTCGCTTTGTAAGCGAGAGGTTCGGAGTTTGACTCCCACCACGTCCCTGGAAGTACCGCGCTCAACTTAATTTCTCCGCGCAGCGGCCTTGCTTGTCAAAAGTCGTGTTTCAAAGTTAAAGAGTTGAGTGAGGGTTGTACCATGATTTACGACAAAAAAAAAATTATAAAAAAAAAAAAAAAATGAGTAGCCTCCTTGACTGTAGTGGCCCCCTCGGGCCTTGGGGAGGTGAATAATTAAAAAAAAAAAAAAAAAGGTTTTTGATTTGAAAGAAATCTTGAATATTTTTGTTCTACAAAAGATTGATTTTTCTTCAGAGCAAAAATTATTAAAATTTCTCTACTTAAATGTATAGTTTCATTTTCAATACCTGTGGTTTAAATCAAATTAAAAAATATGCATTATAAATATTGTTTTCACTGAATTTCACAAAATTATATTTTCACACATTAATTTTACTTAAGGGTGTTATATAAAAGTTAGTAAGTGACCGGAGCCCTAACGCAGCTAAAAATAAGACTTATTGCAAACCCGGCACCGGCCCCAGCAAAATTATAAGATTTAGCAGGGGTTGAGAGCTGGGGCTAGAAAAAAATTTTAATACTTTAAAAATATATTAGAATTTTACTTTAGATTATACTTTAGAATAAAGCGTGTACACGAAATAAATATGAAAGAATAAGTATGTTATTTTTTTTCAGTGGTTATATTAAAATCTTTTTAATTGTTTTGTATTTTGTTTACAACGTTTGGTTTCAAAAAAATGTATTAGTTTTTTGATTTAACTTAAAATTAGTTTTAAAAATGACAAAAGAAGAAGACATAAGAGAAAAAATTATGCACAAGTATTTGGGAAATCCCAATAGTAGCTACAATTCGATAGCAAAAGCATTGCAAATACATCCATACACCGTTAGTCATGTAATCCAACGTTTTTCTCAAACAAAATCGATCAAACGCAAATCTGGTGGTGGAAGAAAGAAGGGTTTTAAAGATACTAGTTAGAAAACTGGTTAACAGTTTTAAGACTAACCCAAGCCTTTCACTAAGGGAGCGCGCAAACATTTATGGACTTTCTCATAGTTTTGTTGTAAAAGTTCGAAATAAACATTGTTTTCATTCTTTCAAAGACAAAAAGTGCCCAACCAATCTGAAACTTAACAAAAAAGTGAAAAAACGCGCTGCAGAAAGTTGTATGACAATTTTATCTCTAAAAATTTCTGTATTATTGAAGACGATGAAACTTATATCAAGTACGATCATCAGCGAATTCCTGGTGCCGTCTATTATATTGCCAAATGTAGAGGAAAAGCAGATAAGAAGTTTAAATAAATAAAACATAACAAGTTTGCTAAAAAAAGTCTTGATTTGGCAAGCTATTTACAGTTGTGGCAAAAAATCAGCACCTTATATTTCTCAGTCCACACTTTCGGGTCAATTATATGTTAAAGAGTGTTTACAAAAACGCCTCATTAAATCACACGATAAGAGACCTGTGTTCTGGCCAGATTTAGCTTCAATTCATTATTGTAAACTAGCTTTGGAATGGTATAAAAAATAATAATGTGAAATTTGTGCCTAAAACAGAAAATCCTCCAAACTGCCCAGAACTAAAAGTTATTGAAAAGTACTGGGCCATCATTAAAAGAAAAATGAAAAAAACAAAAACACTTTGCAGAAATATTAAAGATATTAAAATATTATTTAAAAAAGCATCAAATGGCTTCGATTCTTATTCTGTGCACAAGCTTATGGGTACCACCAAAGCAAAAGTTCGAAATTTTATTAGATTCCCACAGGAATAATTTGATTTTTTTTTTTTATATTTGATCTTCTTATATTATTGTATTAAAGTTAGAAACTTGGTTAGAAATAAAAATTAAAGAGTACTTTTTTTTTAGTTATTTTTCTACTTTCACATTTATTTCGTGTACACGCTTTATATTTTAGATTATACTTTAGATTATACTTTAGATTATACTTTAGATTATACTTTAGATTAATTGGTATAAATTTATATATGTTTAAACTCTAATTTATTTCCAACAAAATTGCAAGCAACCACTATTAAGTGATGAGTTACTTTAAAATAGAGAATAGGTTAAAATACTTGGAAATGTTAAGGCTCAAGACTTAAAAAGGTTAAAGACTTAAAAGACTTAACGTAAGACTTAAAAAGTTTTAAGTTGTATAAAAAAGAAAAACATGAAGAATTAAGGTTTTTTTTGATGTTCAAGGAAAAAACTGGATTAATAAAAGTTTTTATAGAATGAAGGGACAGATATAATAAAAGGATGCAACTTGTTGAACAAATAGCCAAGCAAAAATGAGTTTTAGTTTATCGTTATGATAGCTTGTTTGAGCATTGGCCAAGAATGTACTTGTAGAAAAAAGAAAGAAATGCAACCTACCAATGGGAGAGTGGCTCAAGCTTGGCAGATAAAACAGATCTAATTACATTTACAATGTGCTTTTAGACTTTGTCTGAGAGTAGGAAGGTTGTTATTTATCAATATAGGAATACCAACAATAAATGTTAGCTGTAGTAATAAAAACAGTATTAATTTAATAGTTTTAAATAAATGAGTTTTAAATAAAAAACAACACTTCTCCCTAGAATAAAGCAGAAATGTTTTGCGAATAACTCTAATAAGAGTATTACCTTTTC